CTAAGTCAGACCAAGGTCTTAGGTGCCTGCCACCGTATGTGTCCTTGATCCTGCCCAAACCTCCCTGCTCTCAGGAAAGGTGTGTGAAAGGGGTCTCCACGAGGGAGTGTGAGATGAGCGGAGGTGCTGTCACATCTTGAGGAGAGGACCCTACGTGACAGGCAGCTAGGCCAGGGGTGGACACACCCTCCAGGTTCCAAGAAGGCTCTGTGCTCTTTTCATAGATGAGGAAACTGAGACTCTGAGGGATCAGAGTCTTGCCTGGGGCTTACCCGGGGTCACAGGATTTTTATCAGTGTTTACAGGAACCATAGTACAAGGAGAAAAGGCAAAGCAATAGATGAAGTCACAGTGAGACACTGGGGCCTCGGTCCCTATTGGGGTTGGAGAAGGTCTTCAGCTAGGACTCAGGAGGAGACTTCATTCCTTCCCCAAGAGCTGGCCTGGCCCTCTGGCTCCAGGGGGTGAGGCTGAGCCCTGGGAAATGGGGCAGCCTGGGCTTCCTGGGTCACCGCCGGCCCCTCCCCCTCCCTGCCTTTGTTTCTTTGCCTCCTTGGCCTCTTTCTCTCTCTCCCTCCTCCTCACTCAGGCTCCTCCGCTGCCCCCCTTTCCTGTCTCTTCATTTCTTCTCCCTCCCTCCCTCCCTCCCTCCTTTCCTCTTCCTCCTCCCTCCCTCTCCCTCTTATGGCTTCCCTTCCCCCACTCCCAGCACATCTACACTCAGGCAGCTACTGTATTTCTCCATCTCTCCGCCTTTAACATTTACTTTCTCCACACCCTGGGGACCCAGGCTGAGCCGGGTCGGCTAATGGACACCCCCATCTCACTAGCCCGGGCTGTGGGAGAGCCCAGGCCTTCCCAGCTTCATTCTCTTGGACATGGTCAGGAGCTTTTGTTCTGAGGCCTCCCCACAAGTGGAGAGAGGCATTGCCCCCAGAAGGGAGGTGCCACCAGGAGGCCCTGGGCAGATGACACTGGCCTGTGGCTGAGTGGGACAGCAGTAGCTCACAGGTAGCATGGCATCTAGCAGGCTCTCCTACCCTGGGCAGCCCTGGACCAGGACACCAAGCAGAGGCCTGTGAGAAGGAACTAGCGGGAGTGGGAAGAAGCCAACCAAAAGGCTGCCCAGGGGAGCAGGGGAGAAGGACAGTTTCTGCTGTTTCTGTGTGTGAGAAACATGCATGCAAAACGCAGGTCAATTAGATTCCCCGTCTTACTTCACTTAGCCTCTGCCTCTACAGAGCCTATTCTGCATGCACACACACACGCACACACACACACAGGCATACAGCCTACATGGCAGGAGACTGGGCAGCATGGACACATCCACTAAATCGGCACTTGCAGGGTAATGTGTGTCTGCTCAGGCGAGTGTCTGTCTAGTGTAAAAGAAGGATTGCTGGCCAGGTGGGCAGTAGCTCAACCAACTGGTAGACCTGGAGATCTGAGGAGGGGCTCATGTTGCAGGTTTTCAAGTCTCACTCATGTGCTCCTGCTGGTTCTTAGTGACCCAGGGCAGCTCCTGAGAGCAGAGGAGGCCAAGCTCAGAGCCATGATGTGACCTCCCACGTTGCACAACTATGGCATCAGAGATGGAGACCTGAGCCCATTAAGGCCAGCAGGGGGCCAGAGAGACCTGGGAACAGACTCTGCTCTGTCCTCACTGATGAGATATTCGTAAGAATGTTATTTCCACCAGGTACGGTGGCATGAACCGTAATCCCAACAGCTCTGGAGGCTGACAGGAGGATCATGAGTTCAAAGCCAGCAAAAGCAAGGCGCTAACCAACTCAGTGATTCCCTGTCTCTAAATAAAATAAAAATAGGGCTGGGGATGTGACTCAGTGGGCAAGTGCCAGGTTTCCCAAGCAAGCTGGGGGCGCTGATGCCTCCTGTCACAGTGAGTTTAATCCCTGGTACCAAAACAACAACAACAACAAAAGCACACATGTCAGGCTTGGTTTATATCCGCAGTCCTGGGGCCAAAGAAGGGCCCCCCTTTGAATGGTCATTTACATGATTCACAGTAGGAATCCCGAGCAGACCTGTACTCCACGTCCCTCAGGCAGGTACTGATTAACTCTGATGCTCTCTCATCCACCTCTAGAGTAAAAAAAGTGCTGGGGATGTAGCTCAGTGGTAGAGCACCCCTGGGTTCAATTCCCAGTGCAAAGGAAGGAAGGAAGCAAGAAAGGAAGGGAGGGGTCAGGACTTGCCCAAGGTAAACCTAGGCTTCATTATTTTTTTAATTTTATTTTGAGACAGGGTCTCACTAAGTTGCTCAGGGCCTCTCCAAGTTGCTGAGGCTGGCTTTGAACCTGTGATCCTTGTGCCTCAGCCTCCGAGGCCACTAGGATTACAGACATGTACCACTGCGCCCAGTTAGGCTTCCCTATTGATGATCAGTTCGTCCTCTGCTGGCCCTGACTTTGGGGAAGTCTTAAAAAAACCAACCAAACAAACAAACAAAAAAAAACACTGAGTGCATTGTTTGCTTGAAGTCATAGCAGATGTGAAGGCTGCTGCTGGGTAACCCTCAGAGACAGGTCACTGTGACAGGAGGCATCAGTGCCCCCAGCTTGCTCAGGAAACCTGGCACTGGTGGGTGCCAGGTGTGGCAGCGGTAGAGACAGGAACCCTGCCTCATTCATCTTGTTCTCTCCAAGCACAAGCCTGACTCATAGCAGGAATTTACCAAATATTTGTTGCATAAATGAGTTCACAAGTTCTTAGTTCCTAGTGGTTGTCCTTAGAGTCACCAAAAATTTGCTGAGTTGGGGGCCTGAGATTGAGAGTATCTCTCAGCCAGCTCTGTGGCTTCTTTCAGGAAAGGCTTCCTCCAGAGATCTGGGCAGACAGAAAAATAGTGATTCTTTACATTGGGTTATAGCTTTGCAATTAACTAAGTCCCTTCCCCAAGGTTATGACCTTCAGGCTCTCACACCTTTCTACCTTACTTTTTTAATTTTTTCGGGGGGGGGGGGGAGTAGTACTAGGGATTGAACCCAGGAGTGCTCTACCACTAAGTCAGCCCCCTGCCCTTTTTATTTGGGGACAGGGTCTTGCTAAACTGCCTAGGCTGGTTTCTAACTTGTGATCCTTCTGCCTCAGTCTCCCAGCTCACTGGGATTTCAGGTGTGCACCTTCATGCTCAGCTTCATGCCATTTTTTAGGCAGGGAAACTGAGGTGCAGAAGTGGCTTTGCATAGTCACATGTAAGCAATAGAGATAGAACTTGATTCCTAGAAGAGTGATCCTTCTCTTCTAGGAGAGTTAGGCTCCCCAGACTGTTCCAGATGGACCCTGAGACCCCTACTTAAGATTTCTTCTGTCAGATCCCTTCCTTGAGAGCTGCACTCTAAGCTTAATAGTTGAATCTTTAGTGACTGCTTCAAGGAGGCTAAATTCCTGTCTGGGGTATTTTTAGCCTCAGGAAGGGGAAGCTCCACTGGGCCTGGGGGAAGGGCAGCACCAGGCCTGGGGCTAGTTTCCTGAGGAAGGGCTGTCCCTGGCAGGAGTGCTGCTCCCCTTCCTTTGGTGGCTGTGCCAGGTGTGAGCCAGGGCAGGGAACAGGGACATGAGTATCCAAGGTCCAGGAGGAGGCGCCGCACAGCCACAGGCATGCTGCTTGGTGCACCATGGTTCTGGGGAAGCCTAGTGTGGGCAGAGGGCTGGGAGGGCCCCAGGTGCATCCTGAGGGACCCCTAGGAGGCTGCTGCAGCTCAGTGGGTTGGGGAAATGGAGCCCCCTGTGGGGAACTAGTGTGCAAAGGTTGGGCTGCTGGGGAGCAGGTGTATAGTGAGGCAGCTGGAGCCTGCGGAAGGAAGGAAGCCCTGGCTTGGGTTTGTACCTGCGCAGGTGGGCACTTTGGCATTGTTTACAAGAACCTATTAGATCAGAGACCATCAACGTGACCCTGGAAGCAAGTTTAACATTCAAGTCAGACAGTGGGCTCAAGCATGTTCACCATCAGGGAGCCCTTCTTTCATCAGATCTAACATGCAACTCCAATGTATAAATCAGACAAAAGCTCTGTTTTCATCAGTATAAATTTAGATATTTAAATGTATCACATTTGGCTAATCAAGAAAAACAATGACCTGTGTGGTAGACACAGGCATTCAGCGCCAGGGTGGCTGTCAATCATTGAGACCAACCTCCGCACCCCATTTATTTTTATATGTTGTCTTGTTTTTGCCCTATGTGTACTAAAAAAATTCTCATTTATACAGCCAAGCTATCACAAATGGTGACAGTTGTTTAACACCTCATAGTACAGTCTCAAGGTCTATGCAAAATTAATTATCTTGGCAGCATGGCCAGTGGGGCTGTTGAGTGTGTTGGGATGTGGTACACATTGAATTTGAGTAGGTGGATTTTAAAATATCAGGATCATTATTTTTAAAGTAGCAGAATAATAATAATAATTATTATTATTATTATTATTATTATAGCATTTAAAAATCAGATTTCTGAGAACTTTTTTTTTTTTTTTCAGTACTGGGGATTGAACCCAAGAGCATTTTACCACTTAGCTATAACCTGTCCTTTATACTTATTTATTTTTATTTTAAGATAGGGTCTCTTGCTAAGTTACTTAGGCTAGCCTTCAATTTGTGATCCTCCTGCCTTAACCTCCAGAGTGGCTGGGATTGTAGGCATGCACCACCAGACCCAGCTTTTGAGAATTTACTGAAGGACCTGCAGGGCAGTTAGAGAACTATTGAGGAAATCTAACCTCCCTGTTTTACAGATGGGAAGACCAAGGTCAATGAGGGGGCTGACCTTACCCAGAAGCCCACAGAGAGATGGAGGTGATGGTTAGATACAGAGGGTATCACCTTTCCCCATAATTACAAGTGTGTCCTCTTCCCAAGACATGAGTAGAAAGGCATCAGGGCCAGACACACCCAAATCAGCCAAGCCCTTGTCCATTCTGAGTCTGTCTGTGAAGCACTGAACCAGGGTACTAACACACCCCTCTCTTCCCACAGCGATGCCCTCCTAGCCAGCTGCCGGGGATGGAGGGCTTCATGGACTCAGGGACACAGACGGATGCCGTGGTGGTGCTGTCCTTGGCTCAGGCTGCTGTACTGGGCCTGGTCTCAGAAAATGAGCTCTTTGGAGCCACCATAAGCGCCGAGGCCTTCTACCCGGACCTGGGACCAGATCTGTCTGGGGCGGCTCTAGGGGAGCCCGGGCCACCAGGACCCGATGTCTACCAGCTGGCCTGCAACGGCAGGGCCCTGGAAGAGCCAGCAGAGGAGGAGGTGCTGGAGGTGGAGGCAGCCTTTGAGAAGCACACACGTCGGAAGACACGGCCCCCTGTGCGGCTGGTGCCCAAGGTCAAGTTTGAGAAGGTGGAGGAGGAAGAGGAGCAGGAGGTCTATGAGGTTTCGGTGCCTGGTGACGACAAGGATGCAGGCCCAGCCGAGGCCCCTGCTGAGGTGGCCGGTGGCGGCTGCGAAGCCCTGGTGCAGAGCAGCGCCGTCAAGATGATCGACCTCAGCGCCTTCAGCCGCAAGCCCCGGACGCTCCGGCACCTGCCGCGAACTCCGAGGCCGGAGCTGGATGTGGCCCCGTACCACCCTCACTTCCCCGACCCGGCCCGAGACGGCTTCCCCGAGCCCAGCATGGCGCTGCCTGGGCCAGAGGCCCTGCCCGCCGAGTGTGGGTTCGAGCCGCCCCACCTGGCCCCCCTGAGCGACCCCGAAGCCCCCACCATGGCGTCCCCGGAGCCTGTCAAGCCAGAGCAGGGCTTCGTGTGGCAGGAGGCCGGCGAGTTTGAGGCCGACGCGGCAGGCTCGACAGTGGAGCGCCACAAGAAGGCCCAGCTGGATCGGCTGGACATCAACGTGCAGATCGACGACTCCTACCTGGTGGAGGCAGGCGACCGCCAGAAGCGCTGGCAGTGCCGCATGTGCGAGAAGTCCTACACGTCCAAGTACAACCTGGTGACGCACATCCTGGGCCACAACGGCATCAAGCCGCACTCGTGCCCGCACTGCAGCAAGCTCTTCAAGCAGCCCAGCCACCTGCAGACGCACCTGCTGACGCACCAGGGCACGCGGCCGCACAAGTGCCAGGTGTGCCACAAGGCCTTCACGCAGACCAGCCACCTCAAGCGCCACATGCTGCTGCACTCCGAGGTCAAGCCCTACAGCTGCCACTTCTGCGGCCGTGGCTTTGCCTACCCCAGCGAGCTCAAGGCCCACGAAGTGAAACATGAGAGCGGCCGCTGCCACGTCTGCGTGGAATGCGGCCTGGACTTCTCCACCCTGACCCAGCTCAAGCGCCACCTGGCCTCCCACCAGGGCCCCACCCTCTACCAGTGCCTCGAGTGTGACAAGTCCTTCCACTACCGCAGCCAGCTGCAGAATCACATGCTGAAGCACCAGAACGTGCGGCCCTTTGTGTGCACCGAGTGCGGCATGGAGTTCAGCCAGATCCACCACCTCAAGCAGCACTCGCTCACCCACAAGGTGAGCCTGCCTGTCCCACTTGGCCCTCCGCCTGTTTTTTTATTTGTTTATTTATTTGTCTATCTATCTGTGATTTATTTATTTATTTATTTGGTTCTAGAGATTGAACCCAGGGGCACTTTACCACTGAGCTACATCCCCAGTCCTTTCTATTTTTTATTTTGAGACAGGGCCTCGCTAAGTTACCCAAACTGCCCTTAAACTTGTGAACCTCCTGCCTCAGCCTCCCAAGTCACTCAGATTGTAGGCATGCACCACTGTGCCTGACACTCCTATCACTTATTCATTCAGGACTTCTCAATGTTCTGGTTGAGACAATTTAGATGCAACTCAGGTGAACATTTCTTATTTTTGTATTTATAAATTTCTCTTGATAGGGTTGGGGATGTAGCTCAGTGATAGAGAGCATTTGCCTAACATGTATGAAGCTCTGGGCCATGAAAGGGAAAAAAGGAAGGAAGGAAGGAAGGAAGAGGAAAGGGAGAGAGGTGGGGAAAGAAAAGGAAGGAAGGAAAGAAAGAAAGATTTATCTTGATGGGTATTAAAGAAAAATACAATTGAAATTAGTTTTTAGTTTAGTGTTTTGTTTTGTTTTTTCAGTGCTAGGAATTGAATCCAGGGCCTCGTACATGCTAGGCAAATGCTCTACCACTGAGCTGTATCCCTGGTCCTGAAATTATTTTTTTAAATAATAAAACTTGGCCAGGAGTGGTGGTGTGCCTCTGTAATCCCAGCAATTTGGGAGGCTGAAGCAGGAGGATCAAAAGTTCAAGGCCAGCCTGGACAATGTAGCAAAACCCTATTTCAATTAAAAAAAAAAAAAAAAAGTGCTGAAGGTATAGTTTAGTGGTACAGGGCCCTGGGTTTGATCCTAATATCTTGGGGGCGAAAAAAAGGAAAACTTATTTTTTTAAAAAAAGGTGGAGGATTGGAAAGAAAAGTTTAGGGAACACCAGCATAACCCAAAGAACACAGTGTGGGAATCACAAAAGTAGCCTAACCTTCTTGACTTCTAATGGGAGAACTAAGGCCTGAAAGAGGCCAGGACATCACAGGGAGACAGGCACAACAGCATCCTCTGCTGCTTGTTGTTTGTTACAAAAGTATGTCAAAACCCATGATTTCCTTTTAGGAATAGGCCAGATAGACTTGATTATAAAAGGAGAATGGATGTAAAGGAAACTTTTATTATGGAAAAGTACAGGTGGTTCTAGAATATATCTACACTAGGCAAAGAGGTTTGAGAAGGTGGAAGACTGAGCAGCCCTGTTCTGACTTACCATGTCTCTAGACCCCAACCTTGACCTGCCCTCCGTTTTCCTGCCTTCAGGCCACCAGCACCCCTACCTTTCAACCACATCATTTTCACCAAGAGGCCTCACATCCAGGCAAATGGAATGAAGCCTCTCTCTCAGGTCCCACGGTCCTGCTGTAGTATTTGGCTGACCTGTGGTTTCCACCAAAATCCAGCAATTTAACCCTCTGAAGCTGAATGTGTATGGAGCTTATTCTTCTCCCTAAATAGCGGCTCGTAGTGATAATCCAGGTCAAACTTGGGACCTTCCCTGTCAGTGGACAGTGAGTGGAAGGAAAAAAATAGCCTGCCAGGCTAAGAATCCAGGCTTCTCCAACCCTGGGAAATTTCTCTGCTAGTGCAGGCTATGTTCTGTTACTGGGGCTCCTCCAGCCAGTTGGTAGTAACTACCTGAAGTGTAATGTAAAAGAGTCTGAAACTAAATCTGGGCTTGAAGATAAAATCATGATTGACTGTTAATGTCTGCAAGGGAGAGAGTGGAAGGTGATGGTACATATGCTGTATTTGCCATCTTTCTCATCTAGTGGAGGACTTCAAAATCCCTACAAATCCTCAAAGTTAAAAAAAAAACAATAATACTATGAAGAAAAGCTGAAAGAAAAACTGAAAGCCTGATTCAAAACATCCCTATCGCCTGAATTTTTGTTCAATGTGCACAATATGTGCTTACAAACTCCTGAGTGGCAGGGCCCCCTGGTGGTCACACACACCTATAGTTTCTCAAAAGCGACACAGCCATACCCCTCCCTGGCTGTAAGAAAACAAGATGAAGGACCATTATTATTTTTTTTTCTTCCTGATACTGGGGATTAAACCTAGAGGTGTTCTACCACTGAGCTATACCCCGCCCCCAAGCTCTTTTTATCTTTTGAGACAGAGTCTCATTATGTTGTCCCAGCTGGCCTAGAACTTATGATCCTCCTGCCTCAGCCTCATGAGTAGCTGGGTTTACAGGTATGCACAACCAGACCATTAAATTGTAATACATGCCCTGGGTCAGATCCCCAGCCCCCCCCCAAAAAAAAATTATAGTACAAAACTTCATAACAGATAAATAGTTGGAATGGCAGCTGTGACATTGAGTTCCCCCTAAATTACCTACTCAGCAAAGACAGAACAGCTCTAAACATTCAACCTAACATTCCTCCACAGACCATAGATCATAGCCCCCGTGTGCCCAGCACCCTCCCTGCTCTGAGAGTCACGCTCTGGGGAAGCATGACGGTTCTCCCTAGAGTCTATGAATCCTAGGGCTGAGTGTCCCAAAACCCATCAGTGATAAATCACCTGGGGACTTGACAAGAATAAAATATCCTGTGGGTGTGGAGGCCCACACGTATAATCCCAGTGACTCAGGAGGCTGAGACAGGAGGACCAAAAAAAGTTCAAGGCCAGCCTCAGCAATTTAGCAAGGCCCTGAGCAATTTAATGAAACCCTGTTCCAAAATAAAAAAGGACTGGGGATGTGGCTCAATGGTTAAGTGCCCCTGGGTTCAATCCCTAGCACCAAAAACAAATAAATAAATAAAAATTCCTGGGCTACCCCAATCCCAAGATTAGATTCTCCAGGCAGGGAAGGGCTCAGGAGGCTGGAAATTGGTGGCTTTTTTCTCCAGAAAGGTCTAGAAAAAACAGTCAAGTGTCAGTGGATGACCTCTGAGGTTTTTAGAACTGAAAATTCTATGCAAACCTGAGTGCTTATCGTTTTTCCAGGGAGCGCATAGCTTTAATCATTTTCTCAAAGGGATCTGTGAACCAAAAAGACCACCAGGAGACAGCACTGAGCAGAGCAGCACAGTCCATGACACCAGGCCACATCCTCTTGACCACTGATGTCTAGTGGCATACTGCCTCCAGGTGCCTGGGAAACAGTCCCCGAGTGAGTGAGTGAATGAACACACATTTGCCTCCACACACTGGTACAGATGTAGCTATGCACCTGCTATGGGCAGGAGGCTGCAGGAGTGTGGATAAGGAGCAGGGCACAGCCTATTTCTCCCTTTTACTGGAAGGTTTCCTGGAGGAAGTGGCCCTGCCCTGTCATTCTTCTCATGATTTCAAGTAAAAGGTACCTGTTCAGAATACCTTCCAGAAAGAGCCGTTTCCCAGAACCCATGCCTATGTAATGCCGTGGCCCTGAAACCTATCCCCATACCCAGGATCGCTTCCAGAAACCATACCTGACCATCGCTCCTACCCCCTCGCAGGGCGTGAAGGAGTTCAAGTGCGAGGTGTGTGGCCGGGAGTTCACACTGCAGGCGAACATGAAGCGGCACATGCTGATCCACACCAGCGTCCGGCCCTACCAGTGCCACATCTGCTTCAAGACCTTTGTGCAGAAGCAGACCCTCAAGACCCACATGATTGTACACTCACCCGTGAAGCCATTCAAGTGCAAGGTACTGGGACCTTCCACAGTGGCCGGGGTCCACTGGCTGCAGCACTGTGGCCCACCTGCAGCCAGCCCGGCCAGCACAAGCAAGGGGAGCCCCAGCTGGGGAAAGCCTTGCCCGGGCTCTGGAGGCTGGGGTGGGCACTGGGGGTCAGATGCCGCTCAGGTTGTATATCTGGAGAGCGGGGGAGAGGGGGAAGGTCATGGTGCAGCCACGGAAAGGGCCCAGATCTGGGACTCTGTGCAGCGCAGATCTAACCCTTCAGCTTAGAAAGAGTGGTCCCCACAGGAACAGGGACCAGCAGGAGTGACATTTCTCTGCCTCTTAGGCCTTCGTAGCCACATGGGAAAGGACCGATGGAGCGCTGGCTATAGCGAATAGGGAACTCCCTCAGCTGTGGAGGAGGAGTGGGCTGCGGGTCCGGGCAGGTGGGCTCCCTGCAGGCTGACGGCACCAGCGTGGTGTTTTCCAGGTGTGCGGGAAGTCCTTCAACCGCATGTACAACCTGCTGGGCCACATGCACCTGCACGCTGGCAGCAAGCCCTTCAAGTGCCCCTACTGCTCCAGCAAGTTCAACCTCAAGGGCAACCTGAGCCGGCACATGAAGGTCAAGCATGGCGTCATGGACATCGGCCTGGACAGCCAAGGTGGGTGGGCTGTGCGCAATGGACAGAGCAGGAATGACACCAGCATGGCGCACTCGGGAGCCTCCTGTCCAGTTAGGGGAGCAGGGAGGCTGACCAAGGCTGAGGCCTCAGTGGGGTGGGCTCAGGTCTGGAGGGGGGGGGACCCTGGAGGGCCATCATGGCGATAATGATGGGATATTTATGTCTTCTTCCAAGGACTTAAATGGGCTCAAAACAATAATAATAATAAAAATAATCACTTACATTGATTGATTGCTGTGTAACTCGTGATCCTCGAAGTGAGGCTGACTCTGTTATTATCCCCGTTATAAAGATGCAGAAGCAGAAGGGCAGAGAAGTTAAGGAACTCCCTCCCGTAAGACCACAACACCATAGGGGTGGGAGATGCTCTATCTCATTACCATGAGATGACATCTAAAATAAGTGGTGGGGCTGCATGTGATAGCGGTGCACTCCTGTGATCCCATCAGCTCAGGAGGCCGAGGCAAGAGGATCACAAGTTCAGGATCAGCCTGAGCAACTTAGCGAGACTACTTTGAGAATAAAGTAAAAAGAGGTAGGAATATAGCTTACTAGTAGAGTGTGTCCTGGGTTCAAATCCCAGAACTGAAAACAATAATCAAAGGGGAGAAAACGGTTAACTAGAAAAATAAGGGAGCCGGGCATGGGGGCACACTTCAGTAATCCCAGTGATACAGGAGGCTGAGGCAGGAGGATCACAATTTCCAGACAGCCTCAAGAGACTTAGCGAGACCCTTAGCAACTTAGCAAGACCCTGTCTCAAAATAGAAAGGGTTGGGATGTGCCTTAGTAGTTAAGCACCTCAGGATTCAACCCTTGGTACCAGTAAATAAATAAATAATAAGGAATGGCACAGTGAGGTCACAACTGTAAGTGCACCATGGGAGATCTTATAGGCATTCAGAGAATGCTGGGCTTCCGAGCAGCCAAGGCAAAGAGTGGTCACAGTCCTCTCAGTGCCTGCCAAAGAGAATGTAACCTACAAACTCAGGAAACAGATGATCCTGCCATTAAAATCTGAGAGAAGTTTCCAGAGAGGAGCCTACATTTCAGCAGTTGCCAGAAGTTTCAGAAACTGTTATGAAACACCCTCAAGTGTTAACAATAGCCTCTCCCTTTAGCACTGGTTAGTAGTGAAAACACTTCTGTGAGGCCACAGTGCTGACCATTAGTCTCTCTGGGTTCACTGTGGATAGGGTGGCTTCAAAAATTCAGAATGAAGAAGCCTAAGGCACTTCATGAAGGCTCTTCCTACAGTTTGAGCTTTCCCTGGGGCTCCTGCTGAGGCAAACTAGCCAGCATCTGCCTGGGCAGTAGCCAGGTGAGTTGACTTACCCTGAGGGGTTATTCACCTAGAAATGGCTGTAGTAACTCTGACCTTGGTTTGTGAACCACTGACCAGTGAATGATATGGGATTTCTGGCAGAAACAGGTGACTCCCTGGGATTGTTTTTCAGTAGTCCAGTAAGACTGCTTCCACTAGATGATAATGAAACCTTTGGCTATTGGTTTTGTGGTGCTCTGGGGAAGCATGACTGAAAAGCAAAGCTTTCCACATGCTAGGCGAGAGCTCTGTCACTGAGTCCTGTCCCCAGCCCATTGCTGCATAAGTCTGCTCGCTGTAGCCCTTCACTACTCAGAAAGTCAGCATCAGCATTGCTCAGGATCTCAGTGGAAATGTAGACCCTTGGCCCCACCCCAGACCTGCACAGTCAGAATCTGCCTTTCAAAAAGGCCTCCAGGTGATTTGCGGCACAGCGAAGTTGAGAAGCACTTAAGTCATGTAATGCTTCCGAATCTTCCCCAGAGCATGTTGAAACAAATTGCTGGGCCCCACCCCCACAGTGTGTGATTAGGGAGGTCTGGGGTGGCAGTCAGAAAATGTGCATTTCCAACAAGTTTCCAGGTCTTACTGAAGCTGCTGGTTAGGAATCTCATTTTGAGAACCTTTGATCTAGACCCTACAGAAATGGTTCTGAAATGGGCTGTTCACTAGAAGTCACCTGAGGAGCTTTAAAAATGCAAATGCCTGAATCTAGACCCTACAGATTCTGGACTGTGGCTTATGATCAGGGTGTTTTGTTGTTGTTGGGCACTGGAGATTGAACTCCCCCCCCCCCCCATTACTCTACCACAGAGCCACATCCCCAGCCCTTTATATTTTTCATTTTGAGACAGGGTCTCGCTAAGTTGCTTAAGGCCTTGTTAAATTGCTAAAGTTGGCCTGAAGTTTGTAATCCTCCTGCTTCAGCCTCCAGTCTCTGGGATTATAGGTGTCCACTACTGCACCCAGCATGATCAGAATATTTTAAAACACTTTAGGTGGCTCCTTTGCCAGTGCACTTTGAGCTCCTGTAGTGGAACTCCCACAAGAAGGGCCCAGAGCCAACTTTGCCCTTATAGAAATAACTGGGGCCAGCCAGGCGGGGTGGTGGACACCTGTAATCCCACTCAGGATCCTGAAGCAAGAGGATCACAAGTTCAAGGCCAGGCTCAGCAATTCAGCAAGCCCTAAGCCATTTAGCAAGACTCTGTCTCAAAATGAAAACTAAAAAGGGCTGGGGATGTAGCTGTGTGGTAGAGCACATCTGGGTTCAACCCCCAATACTGGGAAGAAACAGAGAACAAACTGGGCCATGAAAAGACTATCCCTGCCCACAGCAGGGTGGTTAAGGGGCAAGCTCCTGTGCGGTCAGTAGCTAGGGAGGCTTTGGCCGCCTGCTTCTCACCTGCAGCCTGGGTCTGAGAAGCTCAGACTTGATGCTGCATAGAAGGCAGCCTGTGTTTTAGGTGGGATCACCCATAAACTACATGGATGTTATTTGGGAGGTGGAATAATGTCCTTGTTAAAATGCTGGACTGTATGCCAGGGGCAGTGTGGCCCATGACAATAATCCCCACAGTTCAGGAGCCTGAGGCAGGAGGACCGCAAGTTTGAGGCCAGCCTCAACACCTTAGCAAGGCCCTAAATGAAAAATAAAAAATACCTCTGGATTGAATTGAATCCTCAGTACCCACAACACCCACAAAAAAAAAAAAAAAAAAAAAAGAAAAAGCTAAACTATTCCCTAGGACCAGATAGGAACAATAGACTCCATAAAGTAGGGATGTTATATAGTTTCCCAGGATGCTTTATTGTATGAGGATGTGGTGCTGGGGTTGGAGGAGGAAACAGCCTAGAACCTGTTAAGAGTTGTGACCCTTCGCATTATTTTATAAGGTCAGGAAGACTCACAGTGTTTCTGATGCTCCGGGAACAAATAACAGAGGCCCATGCAGACTAACTTAAACAAGAAGGGGGGAATCAAGAAACCAAGTCTAGGCCATCTTCATAGATGGGAGATTCTTTTTTTTTTTTTAATACTTATTTATTAGTTTTCAGCGGACACAACATCTTTGTTGGTATGTGGTGCTGAGGATCGAACCCGGGCCGCACACATGCCAGGCGAGCGAGCACACTACCCCTTGAGCCACATCCCAGGCCCGATGGGAGATTCTTAACAGTGACATTGGGGATAGACTCCTATCATCTGTCCACAGTATTACCTGTAATTTTTTTCCTCATGGTTACAAGATGGCTGCCAGTGGCCATGAAAGAACTGATCTTCCTTGCTCTCATCCAGTGGAAGAATGAGCACTTGCTCCCCTTAGCTCTTTGAAACCAGTGTGAATATTCTAAGGACTTACTTTGCAGATATTTCCTCATGACCCACTGACCAGAATTAGCTCACATGCCAATTCTTGAGCCATTCATTAGCAGGGAGTGGGATTACTCTTAGACTAGTGGTTCTCAATTGGGGGTGAGTTTGCCTCCCAGGTAACATTTGGCCCCTGGAGAAATTTGGGTTGTCACACTGGCACCACACCACTGGCATCTAGAGGGCAGAGGCCATCCTGCAATGCCCTGGGCAGCTCCACAAAACAAAGAACTATGGCCCACGATGTCAATGGTGCCAAGGTAACGACTTCTGCCTTGGCCTAGTCAGAGCTGTCCCCCACAAACTGAGGCTGACCCCCCAGCACAAACCACATCTCCCCAATGGACAGGGCAGAATACACTTAGGGGTTAAGCCATAGTCCTTCCAGCCAGGCTCTGGGGCCACCTGATCACACCTTGGGCCACCCTCTGTGGAGTAATCTGTCTGGCTTTTGTTACAACAGAAAGAGCTTTATAAGATTCCAATTTGATAAAATCACCAGGCCTCTCAGCATTTCTGTCTCCCACAAAGCCTTGTTAACCTACCTTGGGTGTGTCTTTGTCCTTGGAGAGCCAGTCTCAAGGATACCACCGGGTACAACTGGTTTAAAGCACTAATGCTGGCAAGAGGTCAGAGGACAAACTGCTCTCTCCGGTGATTTGAGGCAGAACAGCATAGCAGTTCAAAACAACAGTACTTGCTGGGTGACCTCTGGCAAGCTGATTAACCTCTCTGAACCTCAGCCTTTGGATCTGCCAGCTGAGGTTGCTGTGATCATTGGATGAGATGTGTGAAGTGCCTGGTGTGCAGTAGGTGCTAAATGAGTGGCATTGCAGAGACATGATAAACTATAGCAGGTTTTCTTGCAGCAAAGTAATCAAGGAGAAACACTGAGGATTGAGAAGGACTTGAAGACTTAGAAAGGGCAATGGAAGCATGAAGAAGTTCAAGGCCAGGCCTGGGTCTCTGCCTGAGCCACTTCACTGTTAGCATCCACCCCTGTATACACAGCATTAGGGAATACACACCGAGGAACCTGGGGCTCCCCAGGGTGGGAGGGCCAAGAGGTAGCTGGGAACCCATGGAAGCAGTCACTAGGAAATGGGGTGACCAGCTCCCCCCACAAGGACCCCCAGGCCTAACTGCACCCCTCTCTTGCAGACCCCATGATGGAGCTGGCAGGCACTGACCCCTCTGAGCTCGATAGCCAGCAGGAGATGGAGGACTTCGAGGAGAGCGCCTACACTTACACCGGTGTGGACAGCGGTGCCGAGGCTAGCGCCCTCACCGAGCAGGCCATGAAGGAGATGGCCTACTACAATGTGCTATAGCGGGAGCCGGGCCACCCAGCACAGGGGAGGAGGCCTGGGGGAGTGGGGGTGAGACCCGGGTGCTGCAGGCCACGCCTCCTGCAGCCAGAAACAAGCTACTGCCCCACTGTCCCCAGTCCTCCCTCCCCGTCATTTGCACCACTAGGGACCTTTACAGACCAAATGGAGACTGTACTACTGGCCTTGCTGGGAGCCAGGTGTGGGCCCAGGCATCCCTGCAAGGAAAGGGTAACCAGGAGGCCTCCTCCGCGTCTCTGGCCTGCTGCTGTGGGCAGGAGGGAGAAAGGCGCAGGCTGGCAGGGTGTCTCAGGCCACCTCGGGCCCAGAACTCTCCACAGGTCCAGGACTGCAGGAAGAGATCCCGTGAGCCAGGCCTGTTTCTTTCCTGGACCAACTCCTGCCTCTAGGGATGCCTGAGCTCCTCCCCCACTGGTCAGCACTGCCCACCCCACCTGCCCAGGCCAGAAGTCCCCTTCCCCGTCTTGTCACCAGACAGCCAGGCAGGGCACTCTGCCTTCTACCTCCTTGGCGTGCGTGTGGCCCTGGCCTGCAGGAAAGCCAGAGGAGCCCAGCCCCCAGCTAGTGCCCTCCCAGATGGCCCCCAGAAGACCCCCTGTCCTACAGCCCTGTTTGGAAGTGAGTGCCCCTGAAGTGAATCGTGACAAATATTCTGTCCTGGGCTAGGGCACCACATCAGGGACCCCACCAAACAAAATGTAGACACACCTGTGTTAGGCACACTCTAACAAAGACACAGAGGATGGGCAGGGTGAAGACTTCACTGGGGACCAAGAGGGACTGTCCTCAAGGGAGGCCAAGGGCCACCTGTGGGAGAAGGAGACTAAAGTAGTTTCTTATGAACAGGTGTGCATTTTGAAGGTGGGGTTAGCCAAGAGTCCTCAGGCTCCTAGGAAAGAGTAACATATTTAAAAAGGAAAATGAAGACCATAGAGGGAGATTTTTTTTTTTTTTTTTTTTTTACTAAATGGGGGTATTTTGAAGGTAATTTATTATTATTATTTTTTTCTTTCCAACTCTGTGTCACCTGTTATTTTTTCAAGGAGAAGCATTCTTTTTCCAAATGTAAGCTTTGCGTGCTGTGCGTGCTTCATGCCTCCCCAACCCAGAGCAGCCCCGCTGGGCTGGACCTGGGCTCAGTGGGGACTGATGCTCTGGCCCAGAAGGTGCAGCTGCTGGCAGGGAGCCTCAGCAGGCCAGGTGGGAGACAGGGCAGGCAGAGGCCGGGCAGCCCTCCAACCTGCCCAACCCCTCCTGCTGGTGACAGCTTTAGGCCATGCACAGTGGCCAGGGCTGCTGACTCTGCTTAGCCAGCAGCCCCCTCCCTAGCCCACCTGCTTTCATCCCCCGTGCCCACACCAGCTCCTGTCCCCAAACAGAAGCCCACAGACCCAGGGCGGTGAAATAGCACATTCAGGAACTCTAGGGCACCCAGATTCCCGCCCACTCACCTCCTGAGGCCTCAGGTGGGGAGGGACAGGCAGGGCTGTCCCTGAAGGCACAGGTGAAGCCAGGAGGGGGGACAGCTGGACTGGGGAGACCAGTTGAAATGCAGCTACCCCCAAGGCTGTTTCCCTACGTGAAGGACCAAGCCAGGCCTCAGGGTGACTGAGATCAGGTGGGGTTGGGGGTGGACACACAGTGGCCCCAGTGTGGCTCCCCAGGCCCCCAGCCTCCCAGGTACCCGCCATGATGACCCTCAGGTGGCAGTGACTGTGGTGTCACTGTACAAGACATTTTCTCCTGCTGAGCAGAAGGTATCGCCCCTGCAAACTACCTCTTCCCACAATGTCTTTCTCCCCTGGTACCAAAAAGAACCCTGTACCTCCTCCTCCCTCCCGCCAGCGCAGCGCCCTTGGTCTTGGAAACCGAAGGGAGAAGGTCTGGCCTGGTGTGGGGGCTCTGCGCTCTCCCCGGCCGATGTCAGCACTGGCCCTCCACGAGGTCCCATACTTGAACGCCCCTGCCCTGTGCCTTGTACCTGGGCAAAGTGAAGAGGAACGGAGCACAACTCGGTGGAGCTGGGGTGGCCTTGCAAGGCTCCTGTCCTCACCCCTCCCCAACCTTCTCAGAAGGGGCCTGCAGCCTCCCGGTGACTCAAACTCCCGGACAAATTCCACTCTATAACTTATTTTGACGTGTATACAAACCAACCGTTTAGAGAGTCCACTTGTGCAAAGCCCTACTGTGATTTTATGTTCCTGTTTAAAGAGAGGTTTACTTAGCAATAATTATAAATAAACAAATATTCTTTAGCAAGGTGATATAAGTGCTTCTTTCCACAGATTTTGGGGATGTCCCACATAGCAGAGCAAGCATCACTCTCCAGGGGCTGGAGGGGGCCGGAACTGTCCTCTATACTAGAATGGCCACCTGCAGTGTCAGGTGCCTGCAGCGAACTGCACCAAGAGCAAAAAAAAGGGGGGCAGGCCAGAGCCCCAGAAGTCCCACCACTTGCAGAGAAAAGTTGTTCCACCTCCCTGTGCACCCCTCACACCCGGGGACAGAAGCCAGTTCATGATGCCAGGCTGGACTTCGGAAGCTGCCTTCTTGGGAAATGCCAGCCCTTGGCTGAAGACAGGCAAGAGGTCAGAAGCCTTGTGCTTTCTCTTGAGTCGGGCCTGCCAGAGCCAGCACTGCAGCTTCTCTTCCTATAAGGCTGGGGATCTGAGGGGGCTGGTGAGGAAGAAGAGGGGTGCATAGAGCCACTGAGGCATCAAGAGCAATGGTTCACAGCCATGGGGAGTCAGAGGTCCCACCAATACTCAGGAAGTGGAATTTGGTATCTCTGGGGGATTGGTTCCAGGATCCCCAACTCCTGTGGATACCAAAATCCAGAGTCTCAGGTCCCTTACGTAACAGAATCTATTCACCTCCTCTCATATACTTTTAATTTTTCAGTACCGGGGATTGAACCCAGAGGTGTTAAACCACTGAGCCACATCCCCAACACTCTTTGTTTGGTTTTTTGTTTGTTTTTATTTTGAGACAAGATCTCACTAGAATTGCTTAAGTCATCACTAAGTTTCTGCAGCTGGCTTGAACTCAAAATCCTCCTGTCTCAGCCTCCCAAGAGGCTGGGATTACAAGTGTGGGCTACCACTCCCGGCATCCTCTCACATACTTTACATCATCTCTAGATTTCTTGTAATACCTAAGACAATGTATTTAAGAATTGTCATAAACCAGGTGCGTAGTAGGCCTGTAATCCCAGCTACTCAGGAGGCTGAGGCAAGAGTTCAAGGGCAACTTAGGCAACTAAGCAGGACCCTGCCTCAGAATAAAATTAAAAGGGCTGGGGGCTTAGCTCAGTGGTAGAATATTTGCCTAGCATTTGTAAAGCACTGGGGTCAATCCCCAGTGCCAGAAAAAGAGAGTTGTCATATTGTATCATTTAGGGAATAATGACAAGGTGGGAAAGTCCTACACATGTTCAGAACATATGCAATTATTTTTCCCAAATATTTTTAATCCAAGAATGGTTAAATCCACAGATGCAGAACCTCTTGATACAGAGGGCTGGCTATGTTTATTTTATCAAATAGAGATTATTCAACTCTCCCCCAGGACATTTTGACACCAAAGAATAAAAATATAACCATTGCACAGAGGATAATGCTTTAAATCAAAGACAGGTAGCAGTGCTGGGGATGGAACCCAGGGCCTCACACACACCAGGCAAGGTGTTCTACCACCAAGCCACACCCTCAGCCCTGGGGCAACTTTTTATCACCTTCATGTCTAGTTTTGCCAAAATATGGTGGAAATGAACCCAAGTCTCAGAACCACTGGTCTAGTCTACAGGAGGTCCCCTTTCAACAAGGCCCTGCAAAACCCAGGCAGCCCTGCAAAGCAGGCACTGGGCAGTTTTCAGTATAAAGAGAAGGATAAACAAAGGTCTGGAGATGTTTAGAAGGTTAAAACCAACCAACCACAAAAATCATTATTATTATTAATAAGCGGTCTATCAGAAAGCGACAGAAACTCAAAATGGAGACCCAGATACAATGGCTCATCCTAGGGAATTCTAGGAAACCCACAGGCCTGTGTCCACAGAGTCCCAGAACCTCCTCTAGCAGCTCCTACCTACCCTGTGCTGGCCCAAGATGCTCTGGCCTGTCCCTGGTGGAACCCACCAGCTCTAAGAGGGCCTCTGCCTCTGGCCCCGGCTGCCTCCTTCCCCTCAGGGACAAACACAGCAGACAGTTTTGTGAAGAGCTTTTTAGTTGCTAAATATGGCACCATGTGTACCGAGGGCAATATAAATTACAGTATGCCAAACATACTGACTGGCTGAGGTAAAGCACACTGTTCCTGCCTCACATCACCGTGAGGGGAAACATACTTTTAAAAACATACTTTTAAAAACATCTTGCTTATAAAAATATGTCCCCTAGAAAGGCCTCCAGAGAGGGGCTGTGAAGCTCACCCTCTACCTCATGTTGGGAGGACCAGCTGCCGGCTCTGCTCCGGCCAGTCCGCCACCACCCCCAGGCAGCACCTCCCCTACTGCTTGCCCAGAGCTCTGTCCAAGTTGGTCTTGATGGTGTCCAGGAAGTCTGTGGTGTTTAGGAAGTGTTCATTCAGCTTCACACTGCCAAGAAAACACCATTTGCATTAGGGGGCAGCTCCAGGCCTCTCCAAGGCCATCAGCAGGGAACTTCCAGGGCACAGCCTGAACCTGGGCATCAGAATGGCCTGATCATGCCACCCAGGCTTGCGCCAAAAGTTACCTGCAGCCCACTGCCAAAGAGCCACAGCAAATTCATCAAAAACCTAATAGGGTCTTTTTGTTTTCCCCCCTAGGAGGCAGGTAACTGGGCACAAGCTCTCCTGGAAGAAGGTGGGAGACAGATGGTTCGGGAATAGGTGGAGCAGCCAGCCAGTAGGGACCAGCTCACTGGGCCTGGTGTAGGGTGGCTCAACCTGAATCATTCCTCAGGGCTATGGACTTGTCCTGCCCCAGGCCCCTGGCTGGGCTGACTCATGAGAGGGACTCATTAGAGGATCCCCTGGCTTCCTCCCACCTGGCTCTGAGGTCTCAAAAGGACACCCCTGCCCTCTGCCCAGGCCACGCACTTGCTAAGGCCATGGATGCAGCCAGCCAGGTCCTTGGTCATGGCGCCACTCTCCACGGTCTCCACGCACACCTTCTCCAGAGTCTGTGCGAACCTGCAGGGGTCGGGGCAGAGGGAGAGCCCAGCTGTGCAAGGCCAGGACCCGGACTCTGCCCTGGGCCAGATCGGCCCCTCCCTCATCACTTACCTGATGAGATCCTGGGTCCCATCCAACTTTCCCCGGTGTTCCAGGCCCCGAGTCCAGGCAAAGATGCTGGCGATAGGGTTGGTACTGGTCGGCCGGCCCTGGGGATAGGGCCGCAGGGATCAAGCGCTGAGTCGGCGCTTGAGAAGCTCCTGAGATGTAGCTGCCCACTTCTAGATTGATGGACCAGGCCCACCCGCTAGCCATCACAGGCGGCAGGCTGTGGCCTCTGGGGTGGATTGCCATCATGCAGCCACATGTCCCACACTCACTTTCTGGTGCTCCCGATAATGACGGGTGACTGTCCCATGAGCAGCTTCAGCCTCAATGGTCTTCCCATCGGGGCAAACAAGCACGGACGTCATCAGGCCAAGGGAGCCAAAGCCTGAAGGGTGGGAAGACCCTCGTCAGTGCTGGCACCTTAGGTCACACACCAAAGGTGGAGTCCCACCTACCCCCTTCACCTGCTATTGTAATTGCTCCCAGATATTAGACCCTCACCCACCCCAACTGAAACTAGGACAGGGACTACAGAGCACATGTCCACCCTTGCTGTGGGTCTACAGGGTCCCCAAAGGGGAGGAGGCCCTCAAAGTGACTAGCACCAGAACACTAACACGAATCTATGTCCCCACCTCCAGGCACCCCAGAGTTTGACACCCAGCACCTAAGACCCCAGAGT